ACTGTAGGGTTTAAACCCTGGGAAGATGCATCGAGATATTGGTGAGTTACTATAGGGTTTGGGGTTTAGGGTTTATAACCCTTGGGGTGTACTAAAGGCCGTGCAGGGGTATGGAGTTACTGTAGGGTTTAAACCCTGGGAAGATGCATCCAGTATAGGGGTATCAGAAAGCGTAAGATTGTATTTAGATGTTTAGTTTCTCTGTGTGGGTCTGAATGACAGGGCAGTGATAAACAGGGGTGACCTAGCAAGGTATAATGTAAGTATAAATAGATAATGTAAGGATAAAAAGATAATATAAGGACAAATAGATAATGTAAGGATAATTAGATAATGTAAGGATAAATAGATAATGTAAGGATAAAAGATAATATAAGGACAAATAGATAATGTAAGGATAAATAGATAATGCCAGTATAAATAGATAATTAGATAATGTAAGGATAAATAGATAATGTAAGGATTAATAGAGAATGCAAGGATAAAACGATCATGTAAGGATAAATACATCATGTAAGGATAAATAGATAATGTAAGGATAAATACATCATATAAAGATAAATAGATAATGTAAGGATAAATAGATAATGTAAGGATAAATAGATCATGTAAGGATAAATAGATAATGTAAGGATAAAAAGATCATGCAAGGATAAATAGATAATGCAAGGATAAATAGATGACGTAAATATAAATAGAGGTGACCTAGCACGGTAGAATGTAGCGGTACATGGAGGTGACCTAGCACGGTAGAATGTGGCGGTACATGGAGGTCACATGGCAGAGGTAGAAGGCAAGGAAACCAACAGCAAGAGGTGGTTGTGATATGATACAGACATGCGAGAAAAAGAAAAACAGAACACAGGTGAAGTTAAAGGCAATACTCTGGACGAGTGTGTGTAGTCGCCTTAACCTGTTGAGTATCAGTATACGGGGTGTGTGGGTGGGTTGGGGGGGGGGGGCAAACTTAAAGGTACGAGGGGGGTGGTGAGGGGGCAAACTCAAACGTACGATGTAAGTTACTACGGGATGGTATGGACGGCGGCAAAGGAGTGCTCGTGGATTGTTAACATATGCACATACACAGCGATACGATACACATCCGCTCAATCTGCCATTCAAACACACACGCACGCACATGTATATATACATACTCACACACACACGTATACATACACACGTATATATATACACTTGTATACATACACACACACACATGTATACATACACACATATATATAAACACTTGTATACATACACACACACACTCTCTCTCTCTCTCTCTTCGGATATACACACCTTGGCACACTTGGTGGTCTCTGTTTCGACCTTCTTACTAGGACTTCTGCTGGTGTTCATGCGGTTGACATTGCCATACGGTGAACGTCGCATCGATCCGAAACCTCCACCAAACCCAGCAGCCTTAGGGGCAGCACGCTTGCCAAAGGCTTTAAACACATCCGCATTGGTTATCTCCGATCTACATGCGTAGGTGGTTAATAAATAGTTCATGGTAAGTGTTTAATATTGAATGTACATTTATTAATCCCGATAATTGCGGGTGGTAATAGAATACATTGGCTGTGTCTCATATATAGAGGGGTGGGTGGTTAATAGTTCATGGTAAGTGTTTAATATCCAATATACACTGATGAACTCAGATATCATGCGGTTGGTAACAATTTTCACCCGCACAACACACCCACAACACACTCCCACACACCTCCAAACAGTTACACACACACATACTTACAAACCAATCACTTGCACGCACAAGCATCAGCATCACAAACACACTCACTCACTCACTCACTCACTCACTCACTCACTCACTCACTCACTCACTCACTCACTCACTCACTCACTCACTCACTCACTCTCTCACTCACTCACTCACAACATACTTTGGGTTGTGTTCAGTGGGTTCTCCACTGTCAGCCGCGGCCTTTCTCTCAACCACAGACGCGCCTATGCGATACGAGTCAACGTCGTGGGTTTCCTCGTACTCTTCAAACTCGTCGATGAGAGTGTCACGCTGCCGTCTAAGGGCATCCTTTAGGAAAGAACGGTACAAACACTTATTCATATATGTGCGATCAAGCGAAAACATACATATATACATATATATATAAATGAATG